GTTCTTTCTCTGGCGAGACTCTTCGACTGGGAGGTAAAAATAAGTTAAGGGATATCTCTCCAGAGTGTATCCTTTAATCATGCCTTTTTTATTTCCCCTCTAAAACAGCGCTTCTAATGGCTCGTTGAACATGGACTCTGGTGTTGGTTCATCCAGCGGAAGTGTGATGTGCTCGTGCGGTCTTCCTGCCGTTAGGTTCGCTCATTCATTTTAAGTCTTAATAGATATTATCAATTTGATGTTTTGTGCATGAAACGATGTTTAAATGGGCAGATGGAATTGGTAGATTGGAGAAGCTTGTAGAAGGGGTGGTGGGAGGGAGGGGGCGTACTGATAGCGGATCACTGGATGCGCCATTGGGACGGAGATGGATTACATTAGTTAATGGTGAAAGACTCCTTCTGGGTGAATCAACGATTCCATCGCTTTCTAACTTTATTTTGTAGACGAACAGTGAGTCAAGCAACAGCCAATCGTGGTCGTCAGTTCCTTGTCTGTCCAAATAGTACACCTGGTGGTGGCAGTGGCTGCGATTTCTTTCAATGGGTGGACACTGCTCCTGGTAGGTCTTTCTCTCGTCCTCGTGGCTCTCGTACCAACGTCAACACTCCCTCGGTTGTCGATCTGGGCGATAATTGGCCACCCACAACGCCACTTGGTGGTTCTGGTAAGGCACTCTGTTCGATTTTCCTATGATGAAAGGTTGGGCGGCTGATGAGGTGGTTGAAAGGCAAAACGGCGATGCTAACCGACCAAATGGATAAAATGGTGAATAAGTAATTTTATGGAGGTCAGATATGTTGTGAGAATTCATGAATGAATTAAGTTTTTTTGCAAGTGGATTGACCGTTAGATGAGGTGAGTTGATGGATTACGTGATGAGTAGCTGAATTGGGGGTTGGGGAGTGTTTTGAGAATAAACAGAAATGGGATTAGTTACATAAATGGATGAAAATATGCTTGATCATGTGAGTAGGTGGATCTTCGGATTAATGGCTGGCCTGGTTGTTGAACGATTGTGCAGATAGGAGGATGAGCGAATTGGTAGTTGGCCGAATGAGTAGGCGAATAGGAGAACGAAATTTTACTTGCAAGGACGGAGCGTGGTTTGGAAGGGAGAACAAATACCTCGGTAGAGTGATGCTTCATTAATTGACAAGCGAACATGGCACCAAACACATCGACGGCATGCTGTACTCAATTATCTTTTTTTTTTCTTTAGGCTCCAGAAGTTGGTGTAATCGTGACGCTGGTGGCGGTGGCGGCGGTGGTGGTGGCATTCGAAAGTGTAGTATCTGCCGCCTTCCTGGTCACACACGCAACCGGTGTCCTTCGACTCTGCGAGAGTAGATGTTTTTGCCACCTGTGTGGTCTCACTCCTCGCCTCCTTTCCCTGTAAATTCCTCCTTCTCACTCACTCTTCCACTGCCTTCAGTGAAGGGCTAGCTCTGTTGCTAGCCTCTAGAGTACAATTTTAT